ACCAAAACGTGTGGTGAAGAAATCTCATTTGACTGAAAAAATAAGAAAATTATGTTGTTTGCTCAACTTGTTCTTAAATGAATGGTAACTTCTTCCTCTTATATTTCAACTGTTCAAGATATTTCTCTTAATCAAGAAAAAGATATTTGGCCCTTCTTATGCCAAAAGGCTATTCAATGACATCCCATTTCCAGTTTAAACTGATTTCAAAACAAGGCCTGTGAATTCTGAGGTGGCTAGTTAGTTATAAAATATGTTCCTCTACTTCACTACTTCTATAATAGCCTGTTTTAATGTATTACTTTGGAGTGCAGTCGATCTATTTACAGAGCAATTTTCACTAAACTTAAACTGCGACTTGGATGTTTCAACGTTAAATCCAAAAGAAAAAAAGTTACATAAATAAGCTCCCCTTACTCTAAAATGTTGATCAGTTCCTCGGGCATCAAATCAAATTCTTAAGTATCTAAGCTTTTGAACATAAAAGGTATTAAGAGGGAATGCACCAGAAGTTCTGGTAACAAATGGACAACAACTTTGTACCGAGATCATTGATATGTGTGCAACTGTTTTAAATATCTTCTCAAAAGAATCGTTTCTGNTAGACCCACAACTGTGTGTTGAGCAGTTACCAAAACGTGTGGTGAAGAAATCTCATTTGACTGAAAAAATTAGAAAATTATGTTGTTTGCTGAACTTGTTCTTAAATGAATGGTAACTTTGTCCTCTTATATTTCAACTGTTCAAGATATTTCTCTTAATCAAGAAAAAGATATTTAGCCCTTCTTACGCCAAAAGGCTCCTGATTCAATGACATCCCATTTCCAGTTTAAACTGATTTCAAAACAAGCCCTGTCAATTCTGAATTGGCTAGTTAGTTATAAAATATGTTCCTCTACTTCACGTAAGTGTCTATAATAGCCTGTTTTAATGTATTACTTTGGAGTTCAGTCGATCTATTTACAGAGCAATTTTCACTAAACTTCGACTTGGATGTTTCAACGTTAAATCCAAAAGAAAAAAAGTTACATAAATAAGCTCCCCTTTCTCTAAAATGTTGATCAGTTCCTCGGGTATCAAATCAAATTCTTAAGTATCTAAGCGTTTGAACATAAAGGTATTAAGAGGGAATGCACCAGACGTTCTGGTAACAAATGGACAACAACTTTGTACCGAGATCATTGATATGTGTGCAACTGTTTTAAATATCTTCTCAAAAGAATCGTTTCTGACAACACCAAATGTCGAAAACAAATTTTTAAGATCGTATGAAACATTTGAAAGCACTGGTGATATGAAACCGATGATGAAACTTTACCTGTGTTTGCCCAATTCGTCTGAACTTTGAATTTATTTCTTCGAGTTCTCATGGGAAATTGTTTTTTTTGTGTTATTTCAAGCAACTGTTTGCATTTTTTAGCTTTTTGAGAAAATGCAAGAATGACTGTTATATAATTAAAATTATTGTGGCACAAAATTTTGGTCTACTTTAAACTGAAATTGAACGAGTTCCTTTCGGATTTCGTCTTAACTCGACTTACGTTAGTTTAGACTCACCTCAAATGTAACTGATTCGCATTGTGTTCCATCCCACCAATT